TTTAAATTCAACAGTAAAGAGTGAGCCAGTAAAACCTTAGGTGCCCAATCTCAACCACAATAAAAGCAGAACCTCAAGTCTGTTCATGTAGTCTCTCTCTCTCTCTCTCTCTCTCTCTCTCTCTCTCTCTCTCTCTCTCTCTCTCTCTCTCTCTCCTTCTCTCCTTCTCTCTCTCTCTTCTCCCCAGGACTTCACTGTGTGCCTCCTACAATATTTTAAGGCCTATAAGTGATAAACATGTTTTCTTCAAAGTTTCCTAATTGTTATGTCTGAAGGCTGTCTTGCAATCACAGTAAGTACCAAAAGAGTTGGTCCAGCCCTAACATTGGTTTGGAAAGGAGAGATGTCAGTGGGAAACTCTCAAGGCTCAGGTGAGTGACTCCAGGCATTTCTAACAGATGGCATTACTATCATAGACTGAGACCTTCACTTCTATAATAATAAAAGCATAATATGCTAATAAGACTGGACTAAGCCATGGAAGGTGGGGGTCTAGGCAGAGGCAGAGGCCTGAGTCCCAGGTGCCAAAGGGAAGTCCATTCCTGAAGCCGAGGAAAGGAAGGCCCACTCTTGCACAAATTTCATGCATTGAGCCTCTCGTGTAATATAAGATACCAATTATATTAAGGTTCAAGCTCACAAAGTAACGTAATGAATTGTTAAGGACATACACATACATGTATATTAAGTCTATTTTTTAAAAGCGGGTAATGAGACCAGGCACCAAAAGGGATCCCCTAGAATACAACATACCCTTTAAACTTTAAACTTGTCAAACACAAGGCCCGCAGGCCAAATCCATCTCGCCAGGCCTTGCAATGTGGCCCGCACCGCGCTGTCATCACTGCACTCAGCTGCGTTTCCATCACAATGACAGTTCAGTAAACCATTTGGCCCGCGATTTAGGCTGGATTTTAGATTTTGGCCCCTTCTCTGATTGAGTTCGATACCCCTACTTTAAAGAAAAAATATCAGGATTTCTCCAGGAGCATTTGCTATCAATGACACCAGCAATCCTGACCAGCAGTACTGAGTATACCCACAGCCTTTGTCACTGAGGGACCTAGCAATCTTATAACAGAAAATAGATGCATGTCCAAACTGTCAAGAGACAAAAAAGATCATTATATACTTATCAAGGGGTCAATTCATCAAGATAGTATAATGATTGTAATATATAGATAGATAAGATAGATAGATAGTAATACACGCAACATTGAAGTCTCTGTTTTAAGCAAATATTAACAGATCTGAAGGCAGAAACAGATATCAATGCAGTACTAGTATGGGACTTCAGTACCCCACTCTAAACAATGGATCTATCATCCAGACAGAAAATCAATGAGGGAATATTGGATGTGAACTACACTTTGGCCAAATGAACCTAACAGACATATATAGGACATTCTGCCTAAGAACGGTGAGCACATTTTTCTCTGGCATACAGGAACACCTCTGGGATAGAGCAGATGTTAGGTCACAAAGTAAGTCTTTACAAATCTAAGAATTTTTAGGTTATATCAAACATCTTTTCTGACTATAGTGTTTTGAAACTAGAAACCAATAGCCAAATTAAGCTAGAAAATCAAACAATATGTAGCAATTAAACTGCTGAACATCCAGTATGTCATGAAAAAAATCATAAGGAAAATGAAAAATACCTTGAGAAAAAAAAGAATGTAAATAACATATCAAAATGTATGCAGCAAAAATAGTTTTAAGATGAAGTTTATAAAAAAAAATGTAGGAAAAAAAAACTCAAATAAGAAACCTAACTTTACACTTCAAGAAACTAGAAAAAGATGAATAAAGTTACCCCAAAGTTAGCAAAAGTGAGGAAATAAATATCAGAGAAGAAATAAATAAAATAAACTAGAAAAACAATAGAAAAGATAAATTAAACTAAGAGCTTTTTTTTAAAGATAAAATTGGCAAATCTTTAGATAGATGAAGAAAATGAAAAAAGGAAGACTCAACATCAGCAATAAAGCTAGACAACAAAAAGGAATATAAGAGACTTTTATGTACAATTATGCCTACAAATTGGACAACCTAGAAGAAATGGATAAATTTTGAAAGACATGCAATCTACCATGTGTGAATCTTGAGGAAATAAAAAATCTAAGAGACCAACAGATAGAAAGGAGACTGAACCAATAATAAAAATATTGCCAACCAAAAAAAAAAAGAAAGAAAAGTTTTATGATATCTGCATCATAATGATACCAAATAATACCAAACAAAGCCAGATAAGAATACTACAAGAAAGGGCCATAGCCAGTTTTGGCTCAGCGGATAGACCACTGGCCTGCAGACTGAAGGGTCCCCAGTTCAATTCCAGTCAAGGACACATACCTTGCTTGCAGCCTCCTCCATCATTAGCTCTACTGTGGAGATGGGAAAGGCTTCCACCACCACCCCTTTGCTCACCAACCCTGAGCCTGGCCTCTGACTGAGTGCTGCTTCCTCTGTGGGAGTTCACTAACCACCAGGGGGCAGCCCCTGTGTTGAGTGCCTGCCCCCTGGTAGTCAGTGTGCATCATAGAGACCAGTCTTTCCACTGTTCAGTTGATTTGCTTATTAGCCTTTTATTATATAGGGTGAATGGATAAAGAAAAATGGAGAATAAAAATGGAATATTATTCAGTTTTAGTGAAGAACATGCCATTTGCAACAATATAAACTGAATTTTGAGGGCACTATGATAAATGCATTGATTTATTAAGCCAGACTAATAAATGCAGATACTGCAATATCACTATATGTAAAAACCTTAAAAAAAAAAAAAAAGTTAAACTCACAGAAACAGAGTAGAATCTTAGTTGCCAGGGATTGGGGCTGTAGGAAATGGAGTGATATTGGTCAAAGGATACAAATTTTCAGTTATAAGATGAATATGTTCTGAAGATATGATGTATAGCATGGTGACTATAGTTAACATAATGTGCTGTATACTTAAATTTTGCTGAGAGATTAGATATATGTGTCCTCAACACACACAATATGCACACATACATACACGAAAGGCAACTATGTGTGAGCTGATGAATGTATTAATTTGATTGTGATAATCATTTTATATTTTACATGTATATCAGGTCATCGTGTTATATCCTTTAAATATACACAATTTCATTTGTCTATTGTCCAAAATCCTCCCCCTCCTCCCCTACCTCGAAAAATACAAAAACAGAATAGACTGAAACCAGTTTGGCTCAGCAGTAGAGCGTCGGTCTGCGGACTGAAAGGTCCCAGGTTCGATTTCGGTCAAGGGCATGTACATTGGTTGCTGGGACATCCCCGGTAGGGGGTGTGCAGGAGGTGGCTGGTTGATGTTTCTCTCTCATTGACGTTTCTATCTCTCTATCTCTCTCCCTTCCTCTCTGCAAAAAATCAATATATATATATATATATATATATATATACAGAATAGGATACAGACTGCTAGTCTTATTCAGAATAAAAATAAACACAATAGAATTCTTTAATCACTTCTTCCATAAAATTTACATGGTACTGGTGATTGATCAAACTAAATATTTTTTTAAAAGAATAGAAATAGCATTTAAAAGATAGAAAACAGCTCTGACATTATATATTATTACATCTTCCTTTTAAGCTGTGTCAATAGACCTACTTTTGTCACGAGTAATGCCTTCCTTTACCATTGTATGTAATTTTTTTCATTGTGTGTACTTTTATTCCATTTTTGGAAGCATTTCATTTTGTTTTTTGTGAATAAACAGGGTCCAAAAAGTAACAAGTATGGACAAGAAAAAATATGGATGGGCAAAAATAACAATGATTATCAGATATTCACTTAGGTAATAGTTTGGATAGCAACACAATTCTCATAAGATGATATATATGTATACAAAATACACATATATTTTTGTGGGGGCAAAATGGTGATCTTGTGAATTCCATCATAAAACAAAACAAAACTTTATTGGATTATTATCTTTAAATTTCCCTGTCTGATTCTGTTCTAGATTTTAACATTTTTTTTAACAGATTCTTTTCTAGCAAAATATATAGTATCCCTATGGATTATGGGATAGGTGTAGAAATAGATATATAGACTTCAGTATGCACATACAAAAATTAATTTTATGTTGATTTGAGAAGCTGTGATTGGTTTTACCATGATATGCTGATTTTATTGCATATCATTGTGGTCATAGCATCATGCAATTTGGCATGTAATTTGTATTAAAAAGAGTTCTATTTCTATCATTTGCAATAGCAACAACTATATAGTAATCGCATAGCTCTATCTATATCTATCTATCTATCTATCTATCTATCTATCTATATATATATATATAAAAGTCTAATATGCAAATTGTTCCCAGGGGAATTCCACTGGGAGCCGGGTCGCTCACTAAGACGTGTGCTGATCAACATGGTACAGTGAGGAACGAAGGAAGGCCCCAGCTGGCAACTGAAAGAAAGGCCCTGGCTGGCAGCCAGAAGGCCCCTATTGGCCTTATCACCAGCCAGGCCTAGGGACCCCACCCATACATGAATTTCATGCACTGGGGCTCTAGTGTGAAATAATAGGCAGTAATAAAGAACTGTCTCAGCCAGTACGACTCCTAGTTTTTGAACTGAGTTTTAAATGGACACATTTTAATTTATTCTGATTGTTCTATGGACATCAACACAATCCATAGAACCATTGGTCAGGTTCTATGGATTGTGTTGATGTCCATAGAACAATCAGAATAAATTAAAAAAAATTAGTTGGAATAAATCACTCTCTTCATTCCCACAGTGCTTTATTAATTCTTAAGAACTTAATTCATTCTCTTTTGCTTTAGTGCGACTTCTGTGCATTCTTATCACCTCTACCTAACCAGGAGTTTCTTGTGTAGTGACGCATCTCATTCATCTTTCATATCCACAGCTATTAATAATTGTTCATCTATGAAACAGTCATAACTAAAAAGAATAAATTTTTCTTAATTTTTACAATGTGTTTTTTAAATGTCTTTTAGAAATTTGATGCAACTGTACAAAAGCGAAGATGACACAGAAATTTCAAAGATGATTAAGGCTCAGTGGACTTCTCTGGGCCTAGAAGATGTGCAGTTTGTAAATTACTCTGTGCTGCTGAGTCTGCCAGGCCCTTCTCCCAGCTCTGTGACGCTGAGCAGCAGTGGCCAATGCTTTCATCCCAACAGCCAGCCTTGCAGTGGAGAAGCCAGGACACACAGCAGCCAAGATCTGCTTTCCTCATATGCAGCCTATTCTGCCAAAGGAACTCTCGAGGTAATATGACCATTTGTCTCTGTCATTTACAGTGAAATAGAATTAGAAAACGGCAGCTTTCATCTAAATTGAACTAACTGGCAAGATGCAACATACAAAAGTAACTGTTAAATGTCCTCAGTGTGGAGATGCCAGGGAAGAAAAAAGGAAGGTTTGGATTGCCTGGCCCTTGACTTGTCATATTTGGAAAGTGAAAACACGTTAGAAGAATTTAATTCAAAAGTGTTGAACATGTCACTGAGTCATTCACATTTCCCTGAATACACAGAGGACATGTTCATTTCATTCTTTGTTTTTGAAAGGCAGATTTTAATAGATTGCTATGGACAGAAAGAATAGAGATGGAGGCAGTGGAAGATGGATGTGATTATTCACACTTTTAGGATTTGAAATATACAGTACTTCCACTTTCTTAGTGAAAAACACCTGAGCTAGAAGGCCAGCTGTGGATTATTGCTTTGTTATTTTCTGGGTTAGTTTCTGTTGTTTTTTGGTGCTGTGGCATTTTTTGGCATTGGGGTTAAGTGCATAGCTTCTGGAGCCACATGGACTGGTTTCAATCTCCGCTCTAGGGCTATTGTCTCAGCTCTGTAATGTGGCTAATCATATTTCCAATATCATAAGGTTGTTTTGAGAATCAAATGGACTAATATATATATATAAATCTTGGAGGATAGAGCCTAGGCCATAGTAAAGACAGTTTGCCAGTTAGATACAATATATATAACTGGTCACTAGTTTTTTTTTAATATCAAGTGGTCTGTTTCCATGTAAAAATATAAATTTAATGAGTGCATTTAGTCTCTTATAAAACTGTAGATTGCTTTATTTAATACAAATGAAATAATGCTATGTTTCTGATTGGTGTTAATTATTGCCACATATTTTTAAGAATCTAACTTCTGATTAACTTTGATTAATATATGAAGTATTTAGCCTGGATGGTGTTGCTCAGTGGTTGAGCATCGACCTATGAATCAGGAGGTCTCTGTCTGGATTGCAGGCTTGATCCCCAATAGGGGGCATACAGAAGGCAGCTGATCAGTAATTATTTCTCATCATTAAAGTTTTATGATTTTCAAAAGCAAAGCAATTTATAGGGGACTGTTTTACATGCATCTGGAATACTTGCATATTTTATGGACATGTTTTAGACTGATGTATTATTGATACTCACATATTCTAATTAATAGAACACTAGTAATTTTTCTCCATCCCTTCAGATCATTTGCTAATTCAAATCAAGCTTGAGAGGTTGCTGCTGCTGATTCAGGCATACCTAATTTTTTATTTTGAGTACATTGTGTTTGCATGAATTTCTATCAGGCAGAGCCATTAACAAGTTCCTAAATTATTCTAGTTTGACTGCCAGCACAGCTCCCCACTACTTTGCTTTTGACAAGGTTATTTGCAGAAGAGGAGTGCCCCTTTTCTTTGAAGAGCTGTCATGTCCATTCATCATGTGACTGTTTTGGATACGCTTTCAATTTTTGCTTTTGGGTAACAGTCTAAACAACATTTGCGATATCTGAGATCTACTTGGAAAACCAGCACAGTGCCAGCATGATGGATGGTGTGCTTTGCAACTTCTTTGTAATTCATTGTGCACTGGAAAGGTGACATTGTTTACCCCATCATAATGACAGGTGGGTCAGTGAAAGGGTCCTAAGGAGAGTTGTCCTGTCAGACGCAAAATGCATATTAAAATGGATACATAAATAATTTAGCATGTGTGAGGTTAGCTTTGGGGAATAAACAGTAATTTATATTTTTCATTAAAAGGTAAACATCCACTACAATATCATCATACTGGTAAAGACATTGGTAGTGAGTGTTGACAATGTCTAGTCAGTTTTACAAATAGAATATATGACTTAATCTAATCCCTGTGCAATTATTTCTTGTGTCCTTTGTGAAACCCACACAGATGCAGAAAGCAAAGAGAACACTTAATATTTAATATGGATTGGTCAGGTTGAGTCAGCCATGTTTTTAGTTTTGAACAGGAGATTTGTTTTTATTCCAATACATTTTATGGGTTTTAGAGTGTTTCTTCTATTAAGTATTCTTTTGTGTTTGAAAGACAAACCCAATAATACAATTTTGTGTAGAAATTTATTTTCACGAACTCATTAACTGTGCTTAAAACATTGTTATCAACACATTTATCACTGCCTCATTCCTCAGAGAACCAAGGCTAGCAACCTTCTTTATCAGGTGCACACCTGTGGATTGGTCACTTCAATTCTGTAAGCTTTCATGTTCTTATTTTTATAATAGAAAACATACTAGTATCCCAAGTGGCTGTTGTGGGAAAGAAATTATAAAAACCATGTAAAGTGCCTGGCACTTGGAAATCACTCTATAAATGTTATTATTATTATGTGGCATAAAGTAGACACATTCAAATGGGATAAATTAGGAAATTATCAGCATTATCTATTATAAGATTTGGAAGCACAAACTTTTACCCTGTCATCTGATTATAATGTTCCTGTATTCTGTTTAACATGACAGATATCACTCATCAGGTAGGAAAATGCTTTGATAGTATCTATATATATATAAGGCTAAATGACTGTCTGACTGGCCAACTAACCAGGGGACAGATGCTCAATGCAGGAGCTGCTGATCCTTGGTAACTTGGCAGTGGTAGTTCTTGGGTGATGTACCTGGACCAGAGAGGAGGGAGCCCAATTCTGGGTGCATCACCTGAAAACTGCCCTCTCGCAATCTGGGACCCCTCTGGGGATGTTGGAGAACCAGTTTTAGCCCAATTGCCACAGGTCAGGATGAGAGACCCCACCTGCTGGAGGGACCCTGCTCACTTTGTGGACAACCTTTGAGCCATGGTCCCGCCCCAGGTGCAGCCAGCTGGGGAGATACAGTGGGAGGTTGGCTCCAAGGTCTGTTAGGCCCATCTCCCCCAGTACTGCCCCGCCAGCCACCTTCTAATTAATTTTCTTTCAATGTGCATGAATATGAGTAAATAATAGACTATATAAATCCCTGGTCATATTTTTAATTAAAAACTAAAAATCAAAAAAAACCCTAGGAATAAAGTATTTTAGTTTTTAATTTTTAAAATTATTATTTTAAAATCCTCACCTGAGGATATTTTCCCATTGATTTTTTAGACAGTAGAGGGGGTGGTGGTGAAGAGATAGAGATAGAGATAGAGATAGAGATAGAGATAGAGATAGAGATAGAGATAGAGATAGAGATAGAGATAGAGATGGAGACAAAGATAGAGAGTTAGGTAGAGAGAGAGAGGAAAAGAGAGAGAAAGAGGAAAAGAGAGGGGAAAAGAGAAAGAGACAGAGAAAGAGAGAAACATCCACTCAAGAGACTCATGACACATTGACTGGTTGCCTCCAGCCTGGACCAGGGCCAGGGATACAGCCTGCAATTGAGATACCTGCCCTTGACTTGGAACCAAACCCAAGACCCTTTAGTTTGTGGGCTGACATTCTAACAAATGAGCAATCCATCCAGGGCAGAGTATTTTATTTTTGAATGCAGAATTACAAATTCTGTCAAGTTGGTCCTGAGGAGCAGTATTATCTTTGTTGTGTAAAATATCAAGACATAGTTTAGCATATGAAATCTGAACATCATCCAATAATTTGTTAACATGTCTTAAAGTATAAAAATATAACCATTGCATGGAATTTTTTAATAACCTGCAGTCAGCTGTCTGTTTTCTCATGGCTAGGGAAAATTTGTCTTACTGTTTTATTTTAATATTCTTTAAAAAAAACTTATCAGTGTTATGGCTAAATGCAAAGCTACATGCATTTTGCTCTGAAGGATTTCTGTTACAGATAAAAAATAGCAGAAGCTAAAGGAGAGGAATAGAATTGTATGAGTATAAAGATTAAGCTACTGCTTCACCAACAGAAAATGTAAGCTTGGAACTTCTTTTCAATGTTGAAAATGATTTTGCTTTTTTTATTTTCTCCCCTTTCTTCTCTTGGGATCCATATTTTTATCAACAATGAAAAATTGTGAGATAAATAGCTGTGAACATAATTGATAAAATTTATTAACTTTTAATATTTTTATTGATTTTTTACAGAGATGAAAGGAGAGAGACAGAGTCAGAAGCATTGATCAGCTGCCTCCTGCACACCCACCCTGGGGATGTGCCTGCAACCAAGGTACATGACCTTGACTGCAATCGGACTAGGACCCTCAGTCTGCAGGCCGATGCTCTATCCACCAAGCCAAATCAGATCATGCAAAAGTTTTAAATTTTTGATAATTATATATAATACATTTTCCCAAATCCCATCTATTCCAGATATCATGAGCTTTGTGCACTGAATTGATAAAACAATTTAATAACTTCTGCTAATTTAAGGATAATAACTATGGGGCATATTCCCTCCTTATTGGCTGTGGGGGCTGTCATCTTGGAGGGTGGGGAAGTCAATTAGCATATTCCCCTTATTGGCTGTGGGTGTTGCCATCTTTGCAATGGCATGAGGGTCAATTAGCATATTCCCTATTTATTAGATCGGATGCTTTTGTCTACATTCCCTGTGACCTTTCTCACAAATATATAACTATGAAAATATGTTGTGATAGATCAGCTGTTTGTTTTTAAATGCTTCTGTCTAAATTTTAAATACTGGAAAAAATATATATGTACATATATACACTGAGTGGCCAGATTATTATGATCTCTGAATGCATACTAATCTGGCCACTCAGTGTATATCCTATGTAATAAAAGGCTAATATGCAAAGTGTCCCCTCAACCAGGAGTTCAACCAGCAGCAGGCCAAATGCCCATGTCCCTCTCCTGAAATATATATATATATATATATATATATATATATATATATATATATATATATATTCATTCACAGGGCCTCTAGTAAAAAAAATAAAAGTTTTAAAGCAAAGATAACTGAATTATAACAAATATGGGCATTTTAGTGAGGAATTGTTTGAGACTTCAAATTTGACTAAAATTACCTGAAAAGTTTCCGAGT